GAAGGCAGGAGGGAGGGAGGGAGGGAGGGGGGGAGGGAGGGACGGAAAGGAAGGAAGGAAGGAAGGAAGGAAGGAAGGAAGGAAGGAGGGAAGGAAATGGAGAAAGGTAGGAAGGAAGAATCTGGGAACACTGGCACTGGTTTCAAGGAGGTCTCTTGTAATAATTTATTCAAAAGAGAGAAAAATAAATGTTTGGTAAATTGATATTTAAGTTAAAATATATATTTTACCTCACACTTTCTCTGCTTTCTTTCTTAATCTGAAGATATCCAAAAAGATAAAGCTTGCAAAAGATACAAATATAGGCCAGAAAAATGGTCTCCAACTTGAATTTTCAATTTGCTCTTTATGGCAATACTTGGGAAGCTTTTCCTCTTTCTCAATTTGATTCATTACCATTCCTCTAATAGTGAGGTAAGGTAAGACAATTCTTTTTATCTCCGATCTTCACTTTCAAGCAGTATCTCCCAGCACACACACACTCTTACTCACTGGCCTTGCATTGCTATGTCTGATCTGCCTTATCTCTCTCACATTAATGTGAACACAGCTCTTACTGTAGCTCCATTATTTATTTTTTTAAGGTAAATCATCTCACCCCTCTATGATTGACTGTTCCACTTAATTCTATCTTTCCTGTTTCCAGATCTTGCTTCAGTATCTGTCCTCACCTTCCAACTCTTTCGGATTCACTTTTTAAAATTCAATTGGCTTCCAAATTAATATTTTTCTGCTCATAAAATTATTTGTTTCCCCAAATCTATATATTAAATCTAATCACTCCCATGACCTAAAGTGAATTTCCACTGTCCTGACAGTAGACTCTCCAATACCACAATGTCCTATATTAATTTATAATTTTTCCTCCTAATTCTTCTTCTTTTATTACATTTCTTATCTCTGTTAATAGCATCACCTGCCATCATCCTTCAATGAACAATTGCAGTGGCCCTGCCACTAGCCCTTAAATCACTTAGACTTAACATCCTTTGAATCAACTTCCATTCTTTATATTTCTTTGCCTCACAACCCAAAACCCCAGCAGTTGTCAAATTATGTCAGTATACTTCTAGAATGTCTTTTTCATTTCTTGCTCTTCCCCTTTTCTGTTTATTCCCATTGGCACTATGCTAGTTCAGGCTGTCATATCTGTAGCAGTAGTTTCCTAACTGGACTTTCCACTTTTTATTCAAATTTATAATCTCTATATACTACTTCCCAATTGATTTTAATGTGGAATAATTCCCATAATATCACATCTCTATTTTAAAAATCTTTAATAATGTCCATTGTCCATATATAAAATATCCAGACTTTAAATATGGAATTCAAGATTCTTCAAACTTTCCTTCAAAAACATTTCAAGATTATGATCCACTTTTCTTAGCAAATGTGATCTCTGACCAGATGGATAATTAGCCACTTTCCAAATAAATAAATAAATAAATAAAAGCCCTGTATTTATTCTTATTCATTTCTTTGCTCATACTGTCATTTACCCTGTAATTTCCTATCCTTCACTCCATAGATATTCAAATCCTACACCCATCCTTCAATACTACCCCATACTACCATTCAGTAACTTTCCTCATTCTGTCTTCATGGAGGATATCTATAATAGAGACTGATGACTATCTCTCAGTATTTGTTTTCCTCCCTGGGTTTTACTAGTAACATTGATGCCCTGCTAAAACGATACTTTTCACCCACTCTTCTTATTCAACCCAATTTGATCCACTGACATATGATCGGAAGCACAACTTTCTGAAAATTCTCATTAAAGACATTTGCCCTGGAATCTTCCTCGTTTTAGGAAATGGTGCTAAATGGAGAAGAATTAGAGGCCCCTCATTGAGGAAAACAGAGCTGTCCCACCAGAATTGGACTCTTCTCTGGATTGGGGATGAGAGAGAAATAAATGTCCAGTAATTCAAGCTATTTTATTTTGGGCTATCTTTATTAGAGATGCTTAACCACTACTTGTGTAACCCAAGTATATCTTTCTTTTCTTCATATTTATAAAATGAAGAGCGTCAAGTCATACTTATCGTAGCTTGATTTCTTTGCTGTAAATTAATGTACATCTTTTCCCCTTCCCATTATATTGTAATTGAATACATCCCAATACATTTCCTTATTTATCTTTTCATCTCCTCAAATTTTTAGCACAAGGTTTAAAACAAATGAGCGTTTGAAACATATTTGAATTATTTGTATGTTCCTTTTACTTCCCTCTTTCTTTTTCAATTTTTGGTCACACATCTAAAATGATTATTCTCCTATAACTTTACACCTAATTTCTCCTGAATCCTAAACTTCCACTGCTTTAAAATCTTGCTTTTAAATCCATTATCTTGTTCCTCAAGTCTACTTTTTAACCATTTTTGAACTTCTGATAACATTATTATTGAATGATGTCTTCTCTTTGAACTTCTGACATGCACCCTTGTTTCTCACTCTCTACCCCACTAACAGATAATCTGTCATGGCTCAGTTTCAG